GTCGGCGTTGGGTCTCGGGGTCATCTTGTTAACGTTTATAAATTTGCAAAATAATTTCAAAGAAATGTTTTAATGTGACTCCACTTTTCAAGAAGCACAAAAGAAAATAAATAAAAATAATAACGAAAAACTATTGATTTGATAGAAGGATTCTAAGTTAACTTCAAGGGGGGGGGGGGTTACACGATGGGTGAAATCGGCGGGAGGCCAAAAATAATATCCGAGGGAATGGCCAAGTTAATACTCGCGGGGGAGAGGGGGGGTACAAGGGGAATACATTCGAGGGCACACAATAATATGAAAATAAATTCGAGAGGAAAAATAATTCGAGAGGAAAATATATTCGAACGAAAAATGTATTCGAAAGAGAATGCACAGTATGAAGTAGAGATGAGTGTATCGGGCGACTGTAACTGCGTTACGCAATCAAAACAAACCCGCAACAGTGAGCCACACAAAGGGAACGGAATGCGACTTTGGGGGGGAAGACTGGGGGGGAGAAAAATAATACGCTCAATTTTTAGCGCCTGGCCCCACGTTGGGCGCCAATTTGTGACCGTTCAATATTTAATTAATATTATTTCCTAAAAGGGGGATTTAGGGCAATTAAATAATGAGGACAAATGAGGGATAAAATTAACTAAATATCTATATTTCTATTAATTTACATGATAGATCGTCGTAAGACGCTTGAAATGCCTTTTACTTGGATCTAGGGTTATGGGTAAGGCCAGGCAACTTTTGTACACGTAAAAAGGGGATGACTCTAATGCAGATAAAGGGGGAGAAGCTAATCGTGTCAAGGGAATGCAACTAAATATCCAAATAATAACTGAATGGGGAAGAAACAAAAGAGTGTAGGCTCACCGTTGGGGGGTATGAAGGGTAATATTGTGGGGACAAGAGGGAAAATGAGGGGGGTAACTCGTACTCACGATGGGACTTCACTCTGGCGAACACGTGGAATTCCACCGGCGCCTTGCACTCCTTCAAAATACCAGGGCGTTTTCCTGGAGAGCCTCCTTTCCACCTCGGGGTTTCCTGGGCACCAATACTAGAGCTGGGATGAGCTCGATGTATCAAAAGTCCTCTTTTTATCCGCCAAATAACTTCCGGGCGAATTTCACTGTATTCACAATTACTACTTTCGGGGCACGTGGCGACTCACGGGGCAGCTAATGCACGAGTGACGGTCTCTTCGTTTCCTCCGTGATTCGTGGGGGTTTGTCAGGTGCCGAAGTCCTTCGGGTTGTAATTCGGGAGCAATCGGGGCCAATCAGCACGGGTGAGTGGTGACGATGACCACAATCCAGGGATGTCTCGCTGGGGATTATTGCAGGTGTTGAATATTCGGGGGTCCAGTATGGGGAATTTCCAGGAGGCGTTGGCTTCTCCAATTGATCGGGTGGGGCCGGAACTGATGTCTTCCTTCGGCTGATGTCTTCGTGATGTCCAGCGGCAGGGGCAGAGGGGCGATGAGGGGAAAAGTGAGGGAAGGGGTATCCAACGGTGGCGGGATTTACATTTTAGGGGGCAGTGTGTAGTGGGAAAAAATATGTAGAAAAATAATAAAAAATAAATGAATATGCCTCGTCACAATACAAAGTTGAATATCTCCAAAACTAATTGACCGATTGAGTCCATCTTCCATACTAGTCCTTGCGATGATAAGAGACAGCTCCATGCCAAATTTCAAGTTGATAACTCAATTTTTACTCAAGTTAGAGCGCGAACAAGGATTTCAAGTCAAAAACAGAAAAATTCAAATATCTCAAAAACTTTGCATGAACGGGTATCTATGTTTTGATTGATTTAGATAGAAGACGTCGTGCCGAATATTTTGAAAAAAAAAATATTGAAATCGGTTGGCGATTCTCTGAGATATTTGCGAGAAAAGGTTAAAAAACGAATGGCTATTGCTCAAAAACTAATGGACGGATCAAGCTGAAGTTTGGCATGGAGTTAGTCTCAAATTATACCAATTAACTGAAAAAATTTCAAACCTTTTGGAATGATTTTTCCCGTTTAATTATTAAATTTACGAAAAAATGACCACCGACTGGACAGTGTCACGCACAGACATGGTCCCCAAACTTCGTATTCGTACGTTTCAGATCATTCTGCATCATTTCCAAGCAAAATTAGAAAATGTGAAAATCGAACGATTGCAATGCTTCCATTCGGAAGCAAAAAGAACAAGCAGGAGTTCGAGCCTATCCGAAAAAAGGCGTGCGACTTACTTTTTGTCTTATTAGTCTTTCTCTTTATTTTATTTCTGCCCATTCCATTGGGAGTACGCTTCCGAATAGATGCGTATCAATTCTCTATTCCTAAGACAGACATACATACGCAACCACATTAATTCTGTTTTTATGGAACCATTACTCTTTTGCCTAGAAGGAGGCAATAAAATGAAGGCTTTGAGAAAATCAATTGTTTCAATAACTAACTTCACTACGAAAGTGAAAATTTATAAACAAAAAAGTGATAACGCCCAGAGCGATATTGAATATTTCCTAAACCACTCGACCGTTTGCGCTCATCCAAAATATGAACCTTTAATATTATGAGAGCTATAATCATACCAAATTTCAACTTGCTATCCCCATTTTCCTTCAAGTTATCGGGTGTACAAGACTAACAAAAAGAAAACAGAACAAGTGGATAATTGCATTTCATTGGAATGCATATAGTTGTTGTTGCTAATAAATTAGCAATTATTATTATTAATTAGCAGATTCATCGTATTTATGAAAATCTATTAAAATAATTATCTATTGAATTTTCACCGCTGGCAGTGGCTGTGTGGTTAGCGTATGGGGTTGGCATGTGGACGATCCGTGTTCGATTCCCGGGTGGGTGAGGCCAAAATTTGTGACACGCTAAACTTCACGTTTTACCTTCTTGATATAAAAGGTAAAACGCTATCGTGCAACTTGATAAATAATAATGGTATCACAAACTTTTTGAGTCGTATTTTTGATATTGCAGATGATTTTTTTTTAGTTTATCACGAAAAATATGAAACAAAAAAATTTCACATACAGTATGCTGCAACTTTATAACGAATGGTGCGATTCTCATCATATTTTGATACGATCAAGAGGCTATCCATATTAATTTTTCAAGCCCCGAATAATTTCACTTTAATGACGATTTGTTGAGTGATCGTTGAAAAATCGATTTTTGAAAAAATACTCATATTTCCGAATTTCTACGAAAAATTTAATTCCAATTGGTGTCAATAGATAGAGCTTATGGGAGTCTATATTCATGAGAAAATTCATGAAAATCCATCGATCCCCTATGGAGAAATTAAAAAAAAGAAAAAATACAAAAAAGACTACACACAAAAAATTTAAGTTTCCGATTTTTTGTGTCAGGGTAACTAAATATGGTCTAAAAAGTCCGAATATGCGATTTTTAGATGGTATATATATGTATGTATACATACATACATACGAGCAGGCGTGTGCAGGCGTACATAGGAGATTAGGCGGTGTATGAGGTGAATTTGAGAGTAAATTTCTGTGGTTCCCGGTAGCTTAGTCGGTAAGAGTGCCCGGCGCGTATCTGGGAAACCCGGGTTCGATTCCCGGCTGGGTGAAGCGGAAATTTTTTCTCTCTAAATTTTAATTCTCTTAGAATTTTTTTTCCCTGCCTGTGTCTGTATGTATGTATACATACATACATACAGACACCATCTAAAAATCGCACTTCCGGACTTTTTAGACCATATTTAGTTACCCTGACACAAAAAATCGGAAACTTAAATTTTGACGATTACAAAGCTTCCATTCGGAAGCAAAAACGAATATCTCTGGGAATATCTCTGAATCTGTATATTGACGGGTTTATATATTTTGATGGATCTAGATAAAAGCCATCGAGACAAGTATTTTGAAAAAAAAATTGAAATCGGTGGAGTAGATTTCAAGATATTGAGGGAAAACGAAATTTAAAGAAGTTATTATATCTCAGGAACTACTGGACCGATCGGGCTGAAACTGCGCACCAAAATGAATTTTAAGGATAATCGGGCGAGCTGGGAGGGTTGGAAAAAAAAGTCATGAAACGTTGGATACATTTTGAACATGTGATCAATGATTTTTTGAGTGAAAAAGATTGTCGCGTAGGAGCATTGTTCATTAATAATAGCGAAAAAAGTACTGGAAAATGAAATTTCTGCGCACGCAGCCCAAACGAGCACAGCAACCGTCCCAAGTACCGATCGGGTGGGGGTAGCGCGGTCAATTTAAACGTCTCTTGAAAGAGAACGAGTTATGATTGGAGCTCCCTCGAGCCAGTGGTACCAGCTCCTGGTGAAAAAAAAAACTACCGAAGATGTTGCCACTTTTTCACATGGATTAATATTTTTTCATTTATTAATAAAAAAAAAAACAATCTGAAAACCATTCAATGCGTGGAACAGATACAAATAAATTTGATTAGCTCCAAAAATAACTTTAACTGGAGATACTCCCTAATATTGCCTGAATTTTGAATCCGAATGGGAAAAATTTTTTTGTTCAGCGATTGGTTTTCTGCAGGAAAACAATAGAAACCCCTCCGCCTCACCTCCTACATTTCCTCCTCGCCCGATTATCCTTAATCACAGCTGCCATGAACCAAAATTTCAGAGTTTCATCGACAAATTTCACCGTATTTTTATTTATATAAATTTATAATTAGTTATATTTATGTTAAATTTTGTAACAATTGATCACCACGGACCCAGTTGTCAGATATTACCCTAAGAACATCATTTCTTCACGTTTCATAACATTCTAGACCATTTGCCATCAAAATCAGAAAATTGAAAAATTGCCGAAATACAAGGTTTCCATTCGGAAGCAAAAATTGTACAATTTTTTCAGTTTCGAAGCTCTTCTTTATTTACAAATTGCGATTCTTTCATTATTTGAAAATAAATGGACTACGATGAATCCATAGGATTCTGAGAATTTTCAGATGAATTAATAATTCCTTTATCATTCCAGTTTGGTCTGATATCCGTGCAGATTCTATGGTAGATCAGATAATAGCTAGATTTCCAGATCAGAGTAAAAATCATTTAAAGCCGCTATGTGGTCTACCAGTGAGTCCATATTTCTCAGCATTGAAGATACGATGGCTGAAACAAAACGTACCAGCTGTAAAAAAAGCTATGAGAGACAAAAGGTGCAAAGTGGGGACTATGGATACCTGGATTATATGGGTAAGTAACTAGAATGAAAAAAGCTATAAAAATTTTACGTTGGGGTCGTGATATTGAATCATTTTCATTCCTCTCACTGAGAGTTTATAAACAAGAAATCATGTTTCAATTTCATCTTCAATACCTATTTCATAACTATCCACGCATTACCAAATTTTATAGGAGAATCTAAAGCATTATGCATTTGCTAGACAATTCTATAAGAAATTCTATTAGTTTCTGTACTGTTTTTCTCATTTAAAATTGTTTAATTCGAGATATTGTGTAGGAAAATTTCGGCCAAGGAATTTTTGTAGGTAAACACATGGTGATGTCAGCACCTTGTTTACAAATTTCAGGGCAATATAGAAAAAAAAAATCAGGAATTCGTTCATAATTGGGACCGCTAATTACCGATGGCGGCGCTCGTTTTCACCAATATGGACGATTTTAGGCTTCCCATACACACGCTAACACAAGCCCAAATTGGGTGTATACTGGCTATCCGGTCTAAATGTTACGGTAAGAAATATTGCCCCATAATATTACGGTAAATAATATTACGATCCAAATTGTGACGGGGTCTAATTATTATTGGTCGTTTTTATTATTGGAAATAATATTACAACGTTTTTACCGACGTCGGTGTTATTATTCATTATTATTTTCCATTATTTATAGCATTTCTTTTGTTTCACAAATTTTTAATTTGTTGAATAAAACACCTTTGTGTAATAGTAGTCTTGCGCCTTTTTGGCTGAGGATGAAGTGAAGAGGCATGGTAATTATTTCAACGCACCCGTGTCGGAGCATTCCGATATAACTAACTTTTGTTGAAGAATCTTCAGTTTTATGTGTGAATGTTTGAGGGAATTTTGTTTCATTTTGGGCGATTAATATAATCATACCAACTCATACACCTGTTGAGTAATCGATGGTAACTGACCCAGGTAGAAATATGAGTTACGTTTGCAAGATTGAACATTGTGGCTAGGTAGCCCTGTTAGAATAACCAATGCAAGATTGTCACAAGCGTATCCCCTCCTAGCATATGCAATCTAGCAATTATCTTCCGACGTTAGCTGAATATAAACTTGGATGATCATAGCATGCAACTCTTACATGTACCGATCACTGTACATTCGTCGCTAGGTGGCATTAGTCTGAATACGTTAGATGCACACAACTGCAACAAAATAACCTCGCCTCAAGCGATATTCTGTAGGTCTGAATGCTTTTTCGAATTGGCAGATTCTTAAAAAAAAATTTCTATTCACACATTGCAATTATTGTTCTGAAGTAATTATCATTATATTTTCTCTGATCATGAACGAAACTCCACAATTATAAATGTGGGATTTATTAAAATGATCGATCGTTTCTGAACTTGAAGTAAACGACAACTGTTTGATGATTATGATGTTATATCCTATATATCATCCATATTTATATTGTTTATAAACAACGAATCGCTGCGAAAGAGAAGTACTTTTTGAGATCCTCCTTTCCTTTCAAGAATGTCCTTTTTTTTTTCAATTAATATAATTGTTGTATCAATTGGACAATTTGAAAGAATAAACATCCACCCATCTGATTTTGAGGTTACCTGTCAGTTTCCGTGAATAAGTCATTGTTTATAAATAAAAATGAGTGATTCAATTAAACGAAACCGAGATAAAACAATGATGAGAACCCGTAAATGGCGTGCACGATGGAAATTACAGCGGGAACTCGACCAGATGCAATTTATGGACTTATCATCGAACTCAGATCCAGATCAAGATTATTTTCATGAAAATGTTGTGGATTCAGATCGTAGTTGATAATTCGGACGTTGATAATGTCGAGGATTTAAGGGATAATCCGACAATTCAAGGAGTAACCTCAAATGACAGTAATGACAGTCACGAAAATTCAAGTGAAGAAGAGGAAAACTCAATGAGTGACGAAAATCATTCAGATACTGATGACGAACGTGAGCAGTCCCATGATGAACGTGAACCTCCTAATGAAGGAGAGGATAATTATTCGATAGTATACGATCTCCAGGGGCTCTATCTCCAGGAAGCAGATGATCCAGATCCAGAGATAAAAGAAATCAAAATTTGGGCAGTGAAATATAAAATTGTGCAGGCTCACGTAGATCCTCTTCTGGTAATTCTACGGAGACGACTTCTTCCGAGGTTACCTAAATCCGCGAAAACATTCCTGAAGACAAACGAAGCAAAGTATGAAATTGAGAATATGGAGGACGGTAATGGAACTATGGGGCAATTTGCATATATTGGAATTCAACAAGGCTTGGAGGCATGCATCAATGAATCTGCTCATGAAAATGGTGTCATCCAGGTACAAATCAACGTTAACGGATTATCGTTATCAAAATCGAGTGGAAAATATATATGGCCTATCCTCTGCAGAGTTTACTCTGACACATTGATATATGAACCATTCGTTGTAGCTCTCTACTCTGGATCAAATAAACCAGGGAGTGCAGCAGATTACATGAGGAAATTCACCCAAGAAATGAACCAATTGCTTGCAGATGGAATTACAATTGAAGACAGGCATTTCAGAGTGAAAATTCACAGCTTCATTGCGGACACCCCAGCTCGAGCCTTCTTAAAAGTCACTCAAGGTCATACTGGGTTCCATGCTTGTGAACGTTGCACGGTCATTGGTATGAAACATGATGGAACTACATGTTCATGATTAATGAAAGACTGATAATTTTTGTCTATCTTTCACATAACAGAGAATTCCAGTACTTTTATATATTATTTACGTGTATATCAATGAAATACAATCGCAAATGGTTCAATTTAAATTGAATTTTTCAGTGGATGGTGAAATCAAAGTTGTTGTAACTACTCTTCTCCATGAATAAATGTTAATATAATTAATTAGTCTGTTTCTCCCCTCTCCTCTCCTATTTTTTTTCTATCTTTCATACAACAGAGAATCCTAGTACTTTTGTATATTATTTACCTGGATAACAATGAAATTTTTCAATTCCAATTTGTTGCGTACCAGCATTTTTTCATATTCAATTTTGAGTTAAGAAATAATGGATTTTTAATAAATTCCTAAAATCTTAAACAATTCATCAATTTTCAAAACTTTCAAACTGAACAGACTTTGGCTAGGCGTAAACAAAAATATAAATTATGTAGGAAATACTTGAGCAATTTTGCACAATAGTCTCTTTTTTTTTGTTTTCTCGTGAGTAAAATTCCCCATTTTTTGTCCCTTTTCCCGGTTACTGCCCACCGACCAGCCCCGGTGTTCACCACATGTGCAAACTCGCCCTCAACGCGTACCGAGACCGCGTCGTCCTCCGGTCCGCTTTCCCTTTTTTCTACATACCCTTTCTCTTATCCCTTTACTTGACCAATTGCAGTCTGGCGAAAATCTTCTCCAACCAATTGAATTTTGGAAACTTTTTCCAATCCTGGATTGCAAGGCCCACGTACCTTCTCACGAACATCTAAAACTAGTCTACTCCGAAAAATTCACAGATTCATATCGCGCTACAAATAAATATTTAAATACCTAACAAATTCTTATAACAATTCGAGTGTCAGTTCGAATCTCAGTTCTACCATAATTTTATATTAAATTTCCAGTGTGAGATGAGACACAATTTACGACACATATTTTGAATACAGTCTTGTTTATCGACTGTAGTTTATCGGCTGTAGTTGTGGTCATATCCCAACGGGTCCAGAGGCTGTTCATATCGATTGGCCGTTACGCTCAAGTATGAACATGTAAACAAATGTGTCGCTCCTCCTTTGTCGTCTATTGAACATCGTCTCACGTCTGTACCGGCTTGACATAGTTTCTCTCGGGTTTTCAAGACATTTGGATAATTATTGGTGTTGTGTGCATTAATTATTGATTGCGTTTATACCAGTAAACAGTGCAGTTAATAATACAGTAAGTATTACTCAATATTTGTGATGAAATTAATAAATCAAATGGCCAGTTTCTTATTCTGGTGAATGTCGATTGTGTATGAGTTAGGATGCTCTAGCCGGGAATTTTTGATAGCCATATTCAATTTAGGAAGATGAATCTATTCAATGATTAGAGAAAAGTGAAATAGACCTGAGAATTTTTACTACATGTTGTTTTTCCAAGAAAGAACAACATGCAGGACAGTTGAATGGCGAGACGTTGCCCAATAATAATGAACGCGTCGTTAGCCGTCATGATCTAAAATAGCATGATTTTGATATCTACTTATATTATTGTATTTTTCAATATGTTTTCGAAAATCTACCTACAGGTACGACGGGACGGGAGGACAGGACGACAGGACGACGCGGATAGGGCTAATGAGTCTTTAAAGAAGTATCTGTTGGTGTCGTTTCATTTGCGTGGTAGACCACCTAAGATGAAGAGCGTGGACGTGGTCCCAAGGAAATGGGTCCTTCCATCCAAATCGAAGAAGAAACTTCAATGCTATTATCCTCCTCCACCATACGACAAAGTCCAGGAATTGGTCAGCACATATTCCGATTATCAACAGGAATGGGAGGTTNAAATCGCGTAGATTCCGACTCGTCGTTAATTGTTGGTAGATATTCTGGGATGGAATCGTAGTAATGAATTGCTTATAAATAACTTTTCTCCTTTTGGCAGCAATGATTTTCACTTGTACCAAAAGTCCTTCACAAAATTCAGTTACCCCTCTGGGATTTCTAAATATCTGCCAGCAACTGGTGGTGAGGGGAAATCGATTGGGATCAATCGACCTCTTCAGAAGAATCAGAATTAATTTAGGAAAATATTGATTTACATAATGGGTCTCAATCCATCCAAAAAATAGACATGTAAATTCCTTAAAAAAAAGAAATACCAAAACAAACATGCAAACGAGTCTAATCTCCTTTTAATTAAAAATTATTTGTTGATAGAAACCTACAAGAAAGCGGAACTTCTTCTGGAGGAAATCAAGAAACATGGGAATGAGTATGCCTTTTCAACAGATACAGAAGCAGATTTTGCTGACAAGGCAGTTAGACTTAGCAAAGAAATCTTGAAGTTAGATTTAAAGAAGATGGAACAACAGATTAAAGAAAAGATGGATCCGTCATCAGCAATGTCATCAAAGTCTGTCAACTCACAAGATGGTAAGATGTTGGGCAAGCATAATAATGGGTTCCTTAATGTTTCATACACCTGTGAGCATATTCAAACGGAACGATCTATGCAACAGAAGTATTCTACATGAAGATTATTGCAATGACTTACGATTGGAATAATATATTAAATTAACATCTATTGTCAACTGTTGACTTCGTTGAGTATTGTTGAAAAATTGGTTATTCCATACTAGTTCACCAGATTTGAGCAGCAACAGGGTCAATGTCTCTGACTCAAGTTTTCTCATTGAAGTTTCATTTCGGGGATCCAGTAATTTTGTGTTTAATGTCACCAATGCGCGACCACAATCTCTGCCAGATGCAAATCTAGCAGCGAAAGTGTTTAACGTCCCTCTTGAGAGTCATGCCTAATTGATTCGTCAAAAGGAGATAATTGCATCAATTCAAGACAAATCATTCAATCATATCTGGATAATATCAATACTATCTTATTCAAATCACAACTATTCCCCTATTTTGAAAGATTTGAGCTGAATCAATAATTTCGGACATTTTTATTAATTTATTGAAGATTAACCACAGTAATGCAAACCCACGAGTATTTTTATTTGATCTTCTTTTCAAATTTAATGTCCTCTTTGCTATGGAAATGCTAATAGGAAAACGAAATTGAATCCAAAATTAAAAAGCTAAATGATATCACTAAATGTAGAATAGTCCAACATTTAAAATAAGTTCACTTCGACTGAAATATAATGGAAAATGTCGCATAAATCAATTTTAATTGAAAGATTTCTGGGTAGCATATGCTCATTTGAAGAAATTACAGTTCTATCAATTGAATTGAGGAATTTCAATTGTCCCTCCCAATAAGCTTGATGTTTTTGTTTTATTCAATAGCATATTTTTCAATTTGTAATTCTTAAATTAATGACATGCACTCCATTGAGAAAACTGTTCCACACACCCGCAGGAAAACACCAATTAAGTAATTCATTTTTTTATGAAAATGTTTTAAAGCATTCGAACGGGGTCTGGGAATGATGGATTGGCCCTCTCTCGAGTTGACAGAGGAGAATTTGTATTCTCCAATAATCCTTGAGCAGGACATCACCGAACAGACTAGTGGGCAGCCACAGGGGGCTGAAGTTCCTGATAATACCCCGAAGGAACCATCTCAGAAGAAAAGGAAGCTAGAGAAGCAATTTTGCTGTAATCATCCTGGTAATTATTATTTTTAAAATCTGGAGTCATTCACACCACTCATGGAATTAATTCGATTGATCACAACTTTTTCTTTTGATAGAACAAACAAAAATGGTNTAATTGATTCGTCAAAAGGAGATAATTGCATCAATTCAAGACAAATCATTCAATCATATCTGGATAATATCAATACTATCTTATTCAAATCACAACTATTCCCCTATTTTGAAAGATTTGAGCTGAATCAATAATTTCGGACATTTTTATTAATTTATTGAAGATTAACCACAGTAATGCAAACCCACGAGTATTTTTATTTGATCTTCTTTTCAAATTTAATGTCCTCTTTGCTATGGAAATGCTAATAGGAAAACGAAATTGAATCCAAAATTAAAAAGCTAAATGATATCACTAAATGTAGAATAGTCCAACATTTAAAATAAGTTCACTTCGACTGAAATATAATGGAAAATGTCGCATAAATCAATTTTAATTGAAAGATTTCTGGGTAGCATATGCTCATTTGAAGAAATTACAGTTCTATCAATTGAATTGAGGAATTTCAATTGTCCCTCCCAATAAGCTTGATGTTTTTGTTTTATTCAATAGCATATTTTTCAATTTGTAATTCTTAAATTAATGACATGCACTCTATTGAGAAAACTGTTCCACACACCCGCAGGAAAACACCAATTAAGTAATTCATTTTTTTATGAAAATGTTTTAAAGCATTCGAACGGGGTCTGGGAATGATGGATTGGCCCTCTCTCGAGTTGACAGAGGAGAATTTGTATTCTCCAATAATCCTTGAGCAGGACATCACCGAACAGACTAGTGGGCAGCCACAGGGGGCTGAAGTTCCTGATAATACCCCGAAGGAACCATCTCAGAAGAAAAGGAAGCTAGAGAAGCAATTTTGCTGTAATCATCCTGGTAATTATTATTTTTAAAATCTGGAGTCATTCACACCACTCATGGAATTAATTCGATTGATCACAACTTTTTCTTTTGATAGAACAAACAAAAATGGTGAATCTCTTGATTTCAATTAGAGAAGACAAAGAGAATTGATCAAAGACTTTCAAACATTGAACGTGGTTTTGAGGGCAACCTTGATTTCGTATCAGCTGATCTGTCAATACCTGAAAAATATCAAATTTCAATTCCTATCAGCTCTATTGAACTCCTTCAACATTTCGAACAACAATTACTGAACAATCGTCAATGCCTCACTGATACCGTAAGTATTCATCAAGCTAGAAACAATACAAAATAGAAATATCCTAATAATTTGTTTTTTTTTTCAATTGTATAAATCAGCTCAAAGTGAGGAAAATCCTCAAAACAACCAAAATATCGATGAGCGCATCCAGTATTTTGAAAAAGTTCATAACCAGAGAGGTGGCCATGCAGTATACTGCCAGCAAGCAAATGTCCGATAAATTCGTGATGAAATTAAATCTTCCCCAGTTCATGGGGTGCCTTACGGGTAAGATTTCATTCACCACATTCCTAATTATCCATGAAATCTAATTACAAGTGAAAGAAATCTGTTTTGTTAGAAATTTTGCCAGCAAATTACGTCTGGATGATATTTTGAAATGTTGTGGACTATTTCCAATAATACAATTAAAATATTTGTCCAATTATCATTTTTAGAGACTCTCGTAGCTGCTCACAACGTAACCGAGAAAGATGCTGAAAACGCAATAGGCACAGCACTTACGCACGCGAAAGGCTGGGATGGACATCGAAATGTAAAAAAAGCTCATGGTGCTGGGAAGAGTAACCGAACATCATCAGCTTCAGGAACTGGAAGTTCATCCGACGATGGACAACTATTCAACACTGGAAAGACTGACAACTTGACGGGCATCAAGGATTCTTGGGAGAGAATGAAGACACGAAATTCGAGTCTGTGGGACTCTCATTCAGGAGAAACTTCCGAGTCAGAATGAGTGTAGTTTTTATAAAGGGGGATCGACGTTATACCCTGGAGAAAATTATTAATGTGTTGAATTAGTGATACAAGATGAATTTTTTTATCAGGAATAAATCGAATATATAGGAAAATTTGGGATCATTTATTTAAATTTGTGCTGTGCCCTAATAATAACGTTTCCCATAATGTTCATGGCGAACTTCTCCGGAGTTTGAATTATTACCTACGGACAAGGTTGCACGGAAAGGTTATCGCGGAAACCAGGCGCGAGGTAATATAGCGTCACCGTTTCACCCAAAGGCATTCTAGCCTTGTTACCTAACGACAAGTTTAACTCTTGCAAGTGAATCTCGCGTCAAGCTGGATGCAAGTGTCGATTTCTGCCTGGGGACTTCGGGTCATATTTTTTGGTGTTGGGCTATTATTTTATCGATTTGATTTTCGGAGAATTCCTAATCGAGCGGATAAAGGTTTGTCCTTGATTCCATACCTTTATGTACGGTAATATTACGGTTCAATAATTTTTTGTCCCGTAATAATTTTCTGCGTAATATTTTGTCCCGTAATATTTTTGCGTAATATTTTTTACTGTAATATAATGGTTCCGTAATATTTAGACCTGCAACCGTATACTGTCTGTGTGCAGCCCAATATCCGCCATTCATAGGTGGCGTTTTGATATTTAGCAGTATGGAGATAATGAGGTCTCACATAAATGAAGTAAAGATGTGTTTATCACAAACGACTTATATTTATTCAGTTCAAACACTTAGTAATTAGTAATTAATACAAAAGCGGAAACGCCACAGCTGTGGTGGGTTAGATGATGAAATGAGAATGATAATAATAATAATTCGGATGATTTCGTGAAGCTCCGCTAGCCCGATCGCGGGACTAGTGTCTGTTTGCGTCGTTGGCGCTGAGGACGAGCTCCGTCGGTAACGCTGAGTTCNTGGAGTTTTGAGAATTCTGGCGTAAGTCTTCGGAGGTCGATCCATGTTTAATGAGCGATGCTCTTCAGGTACAGCGATGATTGGTCTAGGTTGAGAGTTTTGGTGCTGCTGCTCAAGACTAGGTTGAGGGCTTTGCTGCTGCTGTTGGTATTGCTGCTGCTGTTGCTCAGAACTAGGTTGAGCGTTTTGCTGCTGCTGTTGACGTTGCTGCTGCTGTTGATGTTGCTGCTGCTGCTGCTGCTCAGATGGTTGGTCTGAGTCTGTTTTTGCGATGAACGCCGGTTTGAGTCTGTCGACGGAGATGGCTTTGTCGATCCCGTTGATTTTGACGACGAAAACTCTGTCATCAACTTTGTTGACTACTTCGTGTGGTCCGGTGTAGGGTGGATCGAGAGGTTTCTTGACTGCATCCACTCGGACGAATACGTGACTGCATTCATACAGGTTTTTGAGGATGAAGAATCGTGATTTGGTGTGATGGGCAGTGGTGGTGGGTCTCACTCGCCTCATGTGGTCTCGGAATTTTTCGAGGAAGAAATTGGGGTCTGCGGGTAGATTTTCATTGACGAAAAACTCACCGGGAATTCGTAGCTCGGTCCCGTACAGAAGCTGTGCTGGAGAGGCTTTCAGATCCTCTTTGAAGGCAGTCCGGAGTCCGAGCATGACTGATGGTAGAAGCTCTGGCCATGGTGTTGGGGCATTGCACATGAGTGCAGCTTTTACAGTGCGGTGCCAACGCTCAATCATCCCATTTGATTGAGGGTGGTATGGGGTGGTGTGTATTTTCTTGGCTCCAACCATCCTCGCGAGTGCTGAGAAGAGTCTGGACTCAAACTGTGAGCCTTGATCAGTTGTGATCTGGAGTGGAGTACCAAATTGCGAAATCCAGTGCGTGAAGAATGCAGTGGCAATGGTGTCGGCTTCAATGTTGGCTAGAGGAACTGCGACGGGCCATCGAGTGAATCTGTCAATCATGGTGAGACAGTAGCGTAGGCCTTTGACAGTGGGTAGCTCGATGATGTCCAGGTGGACGTGGTCAAATCGATTGTCAGGAACGTCGATGTGAGCTGGCTCGATGCGGTTGTGTCGCTGAATCTTGCATTTCTGGCAGGAGATGCACTCTCGGCACCAGCGTGCTGCGTCACGCTTGATACCAGGCCAGATGAATCTCTCCTTCAGCTGACGTATTGTCACTCGGCTGCTGGGATGTGCGAGAGAGTGCACGACATCGAAAGCTTGTCTGCGAATGCTGGCAGGGATGTATGGACGAACTCGTCCGGTGGATGTGTCGCAGTAGATCGGATGGTTTTCGATGATTAATCGCTGGAGTTTGCAGGATGAGTTGTCCGAGTTGAGCAGGCTCTCAAGCTCCTCGTCAGCATCTTGGGCGAGCTGAATGGCTTCGGAACTCAAGACCTTGGGCATATCGATGGCGTTGATGCGTGATAGGGCATCAGCAACAACATTGTCTCCTCCTTTGACGTAAACAATCTCCGTTGTGTACTGTGCTATGAAGTTCAGGTAGTTCAGCTGCCTTGGAGATGCTTTCTCAGGGCGTTGCGAGAAGGCGTAGACGAGGGGACGATGATCTGTTTTGATGACAAACGGTCGACCCTCGAGAATGTGTCTGAAGGCTTTGATACCTGCGAAGATTGCTAGGAGTTCTCGATCGTATGTACTCCATCCTGTCTCCTGGGGACTCAGTTTGCGAGAGAAAAAACCGAGGGGCTTCCAGGTGTTGTCCTCAAACTGCTCCAAAACTGCTCCGATGGCAGTACTTGATGCGTCAGTTGAGAGTGCAATTGGTGCTGTTGATGAGAGGAAACTGAGTCGAGTTGCTGAAGCGATGCTGGCTTTGCACTGGTCGAACGCATCCTCTGATTCTGTGGTCCAGGGGATTTTTCGTTTGTCATTTTTCTTGGACTCCTTGGTGAAGTCGTTGAGAAGAGCTTGATGTTGTGCTGCGTGTGGGATGCATCGTCGATAATAGTTGAGCATACCGAGAAATCTGCGAAGCTCGGTGACGGTTTCGGGTTTTGGAAACTCAACTATGGCTTCAACCTTGCTCTCCGGTGGACAGAATCCATGACGATTGAGCTTATATCCCAAGTAGACTACTTCTTCTTTGCCAAATTGGCACTTACTGGAGTTGATGCTGAGGTGATTGTCTTGGAGGATTTTGAAGATGGTCTCGAGGTGCTGCTGGTGCTCTTCAGGGGTTCTGGAGAATACGATGAGGTCATCAATGTAGCAAGCTGCGAAGTCAATGTCTCTCAGGAGATTGTCCATGTGACGCTGGAACGTTTGCGCGGCATTTCGCAATCCTGGAGGCATGCCGAGGAACTCGAAGAGGCCAAATGGTGTTGTGATGGCCGTCTTGGCGATGTCTTCCTGTGCCATTGGAATCTGGTGGTATGCGCGTACGAGGTCGAGTGTTGTAAATACCTCGCAGCCATGGCAGCGTTGCAGGACGTCCTCGATGATGGGTAGAGGGTAGCGGTCGGGTACTGTGCGATGGTTGAGACCACGATAGTCTCCTGTCGTTCGCCAGCCGCCAGTTTTCTTTGTCACCATGTGGATAGGGCTTGCCCATTGACTGCTGGAGGGTCTAATAACCCCACAATCCAACAGAGACTGGATGTCGTTACGTGCTGCTTGTAATTTCTCACCAGCAAGTCGTCGAAACCGTTCAGCAACTGGAGGTCCACTGGTGACGATGTGGTGAGCTACTGGACTGTCCAGCTGAGTTCTTGGAGCTGCTGGAGGCTTTGTGATGTCGACGAACTTGACAAGTAGTTGGTGGATTGCTGGGGAGAGAGCTGAGAGGTCATTGGTGACAGTCGAGACACTGAAGATGCTGGTCTCGTGGATCTCTCCAGGTGCTGTGAGATTGGTTGTTGGATCGATCAATCGTTTGCCACGAAGATCGATGAGCAGACCGTAGTGAGCAAGTAAATCTGCACCGATGATTGGTGTCTTGACGTTGGCGACAGTGAAATTCCACTTGAAGTCGCGTCGAAGTCCAATGTGAAGTGTGAGCAGCTGTTGGCCATAAGTGTCGATAACTGTGTTGTTGGCAGCAAACAGCTTGAGATCTGCAGGTTGAGAGGTGTGACGACTCCAGGATCGAGGAACTATTGATATCACAGATCCAGAGTCGACTAGAAATCTTTGGCCTTTTGATTTATCACAGACGAACAAGCGAAATTCTTTGATGGCGGCATTGTTGTTTGGGTCTGAGCTGCCGCAGGCCGCCTGAACAGACGGCAGCGTCTCTAGTTTAACTGTTGCTGAAGGTTTGAGTTGAAGCGTGTGCATGGGGGGTGGCACTGACGAGCCCTGTCCCCAAAACGCTCATGGTAGAAACAGAGACCGCTCTGACCCGTGGGTCCAGGTGTTTGAGAGCGTGAGCGAGACTGCGACCGTGATCTCCTCGCGTTAATCTGTCCTACCTTGGATGACAGTTGTTGAAGGGTATGGCACAGGGTCTCAATGGCTTTCTCGACAGCTCCAAGCCTCTGCTCGAGATGATCGTTAGGCCTGTTGTGATTGTAGGCGTCTGCGAGTGCTGCTGGACCCTGGGTGTTGAATGTGGACTGCCGAGAGTACGTCGCCATGACGTGAGAACCATTGCTGGTCTCCATTACTGCATCAGCAGACTCGGCCAGTTGATCGAGTGTGGCATTTGTTTGAACAGCTCTGAGGATCTTGCTGACAACGTCTGGCAGTAGAGCTAGCCATTTGCTGCGGAGGAGTTCATCTCCAGCCTTCCCATCAGCTAGAATTCTCATGTGCCTCAGAAGCTGACTGGGTTTCTTGTCGCCAAGCTCAACTTCTGTCAAAAGTTTGTGCAAGCGGCGATCACTCGATTCAGAAAAACGTTTTATGATTTCATTTTTGAGAAAAGGGTACTTATCTCTGATTGGAGGGGCTCTGAGGATGTCAGAGATCTCTCGAAGATACTGCTTGTCCAGGGCTTCGAGGACAGCATCATACATTCTGGTGTCACTGGTGATTTTTCGGTTTCTGAATTGGGCCTCGATTTGTGTAAACCAGGCGACGGGGTCCTCACTGATGAACGGTGTGAGCTTAAATTGTGATAGGGCCATACTCTGGAGCTCGGTCAGGGCCTCCGGGTTGACGAGGTTAACCCCAAACGGAAGATTGATGTTGGGATTGGCTGCACTTCCAGGTGGTGCAAAATCTCCGAGGAGATTGCTGATTTCAGGAATTTGATAATTTGGTGCTTGTTGTCCCGTCATTTTGCGTGATGCCAGTGGTATTGGTGTAACTGGGTGTGACTGACCTGATGAAGATTGGGTTTGTTGTTTTTGATTTTGCTGGTTCTGTTCGTTTTGAACCGGATTCTGCTGGATCGGGTCTCCGTGCACCTGAGGTTGATTATTCTGTGCAGTGCCGGGTGGAGGTGTGCGAGGAAGCGTCATCAAGGTGATTAATGTCCGTGTAGAGGCATGTGGTTGTTGCGAGGTTATTGCTTGCGTGAACGTAATCCCTTCGGATCACGTCGGGGTCACCAATTATGGAGATAATGAGGTCTCACATAAATGAAGTAAAGATGTGTTTATCACAAACGACTTATATTTATTCAGTTCAAACACTTAGTAATTAGTAATTAATATAAAAGCGGAAACGCCACAGCTGTGGTGGGTTAGATGATGAAATGAGAATGATAATAATAATAATTCGGATGACTTCGTGAAGCTCCGCTAGCCCGATCGCGGGACTAGTGTCTGTTTGCGTCGTTGGCGCTGAGGACGAGCTCCGTCGGTAACGCTGAGTTCTGGTTGAGCCTCAGCCGCCACAGCAGTTCGAATTTGCCTTCCAAATGATGAACGTTGTGATTTACTGTCGCCATGCTTTGTTATAGTATTTAATATCGCTCTTCATGATGATGAAATTATTGGGAGAAACTAACGGACATAATGATGCTGGAATTATTGCAGCAAATATCGTCATAATTATTAAAACATTTGCATTTTCATGGTGGCATGGCCTAACATAGCAGAGGCCTAGCATGATGCTATTGTTTAAATTTTTAAAAATCCTAACGCTTACTATACAAAAGCCGATCATCATAATTTTTTAATTCTTGTGCCATTAAATTTTTGATTTTCCATTCTACATCTCCTGACAATTTGTAAGCAAGTTACTGATGTCTACAACATAAGTTGAATAAAATAATGAAATTCTATTGATTTTTTCTGCAACATACTTTTTAATGTACATTGTTAATGCAAAAAATTCAGAGAAAAGCTGCAGTTTTTTTTCAAGCGAATCATCGTTAAACAAGTAGTTTTCAGTAGAAGTCCTATAGACATCCAATTGAATTTTTTACTGCATACGCAAAGTTTTGTACGAAGTATTTTCGTACCTATTGTCAAGACATTTATGGATTGAATAAATTTATAATCTCAGTTTATTCTCTAATCCGAATGTGAATAACGGCAGAATTTAATATTAGAGGTAAAATGTCCTCCATAAAAAACTCACATATTCATTCGAAAGTTTTCCTGTCTTTCTTAGAACTTGACTGGCGGAAAAGATAATGGCCTTTACATAACAGACGTGACAAACGCTTCACGAACAATGCTGATGAACATCGAAACACTTGCATGGGATCCAACATTATGTAGATACTTCGATATTCCCATGAAACTCTTACCAGAAATTCGAAGTAGTTCCGAAGTATATGGGAGAATAACAGTGGGCCCCCTGGAAGGTATTCCGATAGCCGGGGTAAGAGATGTTTAATAAAGAAAGAACTCTTTGATCACAAAGGAAGAGTTACCTTACTAAAAAATCTCTCCCTAATTTGTAGATTCTAGGGAATCAACAAGCCGCTCTAGTCGGTCAGAACTGTCTGAAGAAAGGTCAAGCGAAGAACACTTACAGAAGTGGATGTTTCCTATTATTGAACACTGGAACAACAGTAAATATCTTAGACTTTCTACTTGAAAATTCCATTTTTCAATCTTGAAAAATGATCAATTTCGAATATTCAAGGTATTATGGTGGGAAGGGGTTTTAAAAAATTGCATTTTAATGATAGAAATTATTTTGAACGCTCTCAAGGGCATCACAATTCGTTCTATCCTAACAGAAAATCACAAGTTATCAACAATATTCAATAAATTATTTAAAAAAAATCGAAACATTCATGTACCATTTGAAAATAATCATTTACAAATGTTCACACTCTTCTCTGCTTTTTTTTTTAAAAACACATTTTTTCCATAAGAGCTCATGTCTTTTGACACTCGCCGATAATTTCTTTAATGGCTGATTGACCAAAATGTCATCTATGATTGGACATTTTTCACAATTTTGGTGCTGGAATGAGAATTCAATGACCTTTGACTTGAGAATTTGAGAATCTTTAAATTAAATTTTCGGGCATTTCATTCCAAAATTCATTGCATTTCTTTTTCATTGATTTTTTTTTTGCAGCGTGTATATTCTTCTCACGGTTTGGTAACAACAGTGGCATACAAAATGGGCCCGAACAGTCCAGCAGTATACGCCCTGGAAGGCTCGGTGGCTGTTGCTGGAGCAGCCATAAAATGGTTACGTGATAATCTAAAACTCATCAAAGACGTCAACGAGAGTGAGGACTTGGCACAGAGTGTTTTCAGTACTGGCGATGTTTACTTTGTCCCAGCATTCAATGGTTTATATGCTCCATATTGGAGGAAAGATGCCAGAGGGTATGGTTATTCAAATTCACATTTTTCTTTGGGAAAATGGAGTGTTCAACTCGTTGAGCTTGGGTTCAGTAATATGTATGGAGATGATTTCAAATATATATATAGAAAATGTGATATTGAAGAATAATACATGGACAGAATAATTCGACGACCCCTAGCTTATGTTGTTTGCGTTAGCATTTCAACAACAAATGCTGTCGATATCCATTGGCTCAATGAATCAATTTTCCTTATCATGATTAAGATACTATTTATACTGCTTTCAAACAATCATACGTTATATATTTTGAGATACCGAGTGGCGTCTAGAAAGCTCTCTAATTTTTTCAACTTTGATCATTCTTTTTAGCGTATCTCCAAAGATTCTAAAACTTTTCAATTGAATCCGGAGCTCACGAGACCCTTCTATGATTGATGTATCTCAGGTGCTTTGACAATATTAAGTGTAGTAAGTCGATTCCTCTTATAGTACCTATCAAAGTATTATCTCAAAAATGAGTGATTTTTACAGATAGATCACGATAAAGTTTCTATACAAAAATTTCTAACCTAGTCGAATTTTTTAGACGATATCTCTTGACAATTGTCCTGACACCATCGTCAATAACCCGTCAGCACTCGCGCCAGTTCACCGAAAACCTTTACTCGCGCCGTGAGAGAATCTCACACGGCCCCTCGTCCGAGCTCGATAAAATTTTTTAAAATAATTTAGTGAAATACTAGATTATTTTATACTATTTTATTTCATTTTCTTTCCATTTCCGTCTTCACAATTAGATTAATTTAATTGTATTCATTCTTATTCTTATTATATATTTTTTTCCTTAATTCACAAATTGCAACCTTGAATGAAAAGGAATCATGTTAACGATTAATAAAAAATGTTTTTTTGTCATCCAAACAAACGCACAAAACACAAGTCATTCAAAATCTCATTCGGGTAATAAAAAAATCTCCCCATGTATTCCTGAAAATTTTGAAAATCTATTATTCTCTTCATATGGTAAAATGATATCGGTACTCTTCATTCCTATTATTGTCATGAAAAGGAAATAAAAAAAGAATCAGAAACAGACAATCAGCTAGAAAATGGATTTAATTTTCGTTTTATGTTGGCGAAAACTTGAATCACTTTTTCTCTTCAAGTATCAGAGCGATATCAATACTTCATCGAAAAGCAATTTAAAAAAGTAAAAAAAGTGGGGGGAAAGAATTTAAAAAAATAATTTTTCAATATCTGGGAAGTTTCAAAATCGATTTTCCTTCGTATAATAGAAGAATTATTACATAATAATAATCGCATAAAATTTTTAGTCTCCACTTCTTGATTTTTGTCATTTTTTATATTCATTCTATCGAATTTATGGGTATTCTTTCATTATTGGAAAAAATATATCGATTTTAAAACTTTCCATCCACTTTTTTTTGCGTGATTTCAATTCCCTTTCGTTGATATCCTTGGAAATAGATTATAATATTGATATTCCTCCTATTTTTGAAGAAAAAATATAATAATTCCAAGTTTTGATCGACACAAATGAAGAAACGCACATAATCGCATATAATTTTTTGTCTCCAATTCTTGATTTTTGTCATTTTTCATATCTATTCTATCAAAAGACATGGAAAAAAATTCAATTTATGGGTATTCTTTCATTGCTCGAAAAAATATATCGATTTTAAAACTTTCCGGAGACATCGAAAAATTAATTTTTTTATTTCTTCCCATCCACTTTTTTTTGCGTGATTCCAATTCCTTTTCGTTGATATTCTTGGAAATAGCTCATAATATTGATATTCCTCCTATTTTTGAAGAAAAAATATAATAATTGCAAGTTTTGATCGACACAAATGAAGAAAAACAAATTTTCACACATAATAATAATCGCATATTTTCGTCTTCGATTCTTCATTCTTATCGTTTATTCTGTTCACTCTATCGAAAGACATGAATAAAAGTAGATATGGGTATTCTTCCATAATCGAAAAACTATTGATGATTTGAAACTTCCGCAATCACTGAAAAATAATTTTTTTAATTTCTTCCCGCCCTTTTTTTTGACGTCATTTCTATTTTTCTAGTTGTAAATATTGAAATTAGCAATGAGGAATATGGGTATCCTCCTTTCATAATATGACGGCAAGATGGATTCAGAATTTTTTTTAGAAAATGTACAGTGTGGCGTTATGAGTTTTACCCGGAGGTAAAACTCAGTGGATGATAGTCCTTTTCCGTCCAGCTATTACTGTCAGTGAGAGGAATCTCCTTTTCACTACACCTTTTCACGTATTCCTGCACTGTAATCCTTCTGTATGGCCACTTAATCCTCAGCTAACTTCGGCGGTGAGCTTATGGGGGATTCGCTCACTCGTAGGGATGTTAGGAAAGGTATGAAGGGATATTACTTGGTGATATTCTAAATAAACACTCGCGTATTTATCGGTAAAAGTATGGTATATTAATCGATGGTTTAAAATACACGACTGTTTTACTTATGGGTTGGTATACGCGTTATTAAGAGAGTCGACTAGGGACTTCGACTCGATTTTGGCTGAAGGCCTGAGCTAGAGGTCCGCTCGACTCTTCTCCTGATCGTACTCTGGTGCTTCCAGAGTCCTCAAAACTTGGCAACGTCCCAGGTTGCTGAGCTAAGCATTCTCGCGATTTTCTTCACTAACACTGCCTCGTGTCATCGCTGACAGAGACTCAAACAGTCAAACACTTCATTCTGAACTGGACTCCTAAAAAACCGTGGGACTGCTTACCACGGTGTCCAAATGACACCGTGGGATTGCTGAGCAGTGTCTGGATGACAGGAAAGAGAAATCATATTTCTCGTTCCCACCATCCAGCATTATAATATTATATTATATAATTACTAACTAAATCGACGTATTGATCGATCTCAATACGTCACAACGGAATGTTTTTTTCATAACGTGAATGACATTCCGAATGATTTTTGTTTCGTAATAAAACAAAAAAAGAAGAATAAATGACAAGTATAGAGAAAGTTGAGATAACCGTATTTTTTCAATTATAATAATTCAAATAGTCAGAGAGGAAAGAAGTAGGAGGAAGAAGGAGGAGGACCATGGATAACGATAAATGTCGTAAGTTCATTCAAATAATGATATCAGTAAATAATAAAAATGAATTTTCTCATAGGACACGATGATATAAGATTCCTTGACAAAAAATGAAGAAAAGGAGGGATTTCTGGAACAGATTTTTGTTCTGCCTCGTTTGGTTATATACTTTATATACTTTATACTTTATGTATTCAATCACCACAACATAATATTAACTTATCGAATTTTCAACAAACTAATCCCAATTTCTTGTTCTTATTGATTCAAATTTAACTTTAACTCATGTTGAATAGTTCTGGAGGATGAATGGGATAATGCGCTAATTGAAGCTATGAGGATTTGGGAAACTAATGAGAAAAAAGGAGATTTTCAGAAGTATGAACAATTGTATGATAATAAATAATGATCGAATAATGAAGAAGTACACTTAAATGTAGGACACAAGAGACAACAAGATTGGTGAATCAAAAAAACACCCACTCAAATACCGGGAGGATTCAGACTGATAGGAAAATTAAACAGGAAAAGGAATTCAAGAGAGGAAGGAAGAATGAAGGAGATTAATAGACATTGAATGAAGTAGCTGATTGTGATTATACACACAGGAATGGATTTTTTTGAAATTATTGGAGGAAAATTATTGAAGAAAAATTGCAATGTCAATAAATTGTCGATTTCATAAGAGAAATTGTAAAAAAGGGTGAAATTTCGTTTGATTTGTGGAAGAAGTAATTTGATTTATCTGAAGCATTGCGAGAATATTGGGAAAAAAAGCGAAGAAGATAAAATTTCCATTTTAAGCTACATTTAGCACGTTAGGAGAAGAGGAAAAGAATTGCACAATTGACACACAATTTCGAAAATTTGACAATTTTAAAAAATTTGAAAACGTGATGAAAAAATATAAAATTTTATTGAAGATTTACAAAATTATACGAAGATCCCCGAATCCCTCTGGATGCTGTTTAAAACCATAGATTTTCGTTTTTCTTTGTTTCTTCGAAAAAGTGAAAAATTTTCTCGGAATCATCAGATCTCTTGAGAATTATCTTGAATTTTGGTGAAAAAAAAGCAGGACTTCCTCAGTTTTTTTCGGCAAGAGTGCAGTTTTCATTACGAAGTAAAATCATTTATAACGTCAAAAACTAATCATGAAATTTAAAAAATTAAATTTTAAAGATTTAAAGTTGATAGGGAAAAACAAAGGAGAATTAAAAAACGACCAAATTCATTCACATATTTCAAAAATTATTGAGAAAACGAGGGGTTTACGAGGCAGAAAAAAAGAGGAGTTTCTCGAATTAATTCATAAAAAATAAAAGAAATTTCTGGACAATTTTATATAATTTTTCATAAAAATGAAGAATGGTTTTGAATTTTCTTGAATTCTCGATAAGATGGGAGAAATTTTTGTATATTTTTAGAGCTTCGGTAGACTCTAATCGATGATACTGGCTGTCAGGAGTAACTTCTGAGAATAACGCTCAATATGAAATTGGCAACGTATCCAGGTCGAAAAAACAAACGAAAATACACTGTCGATTGACTTCAAGCAGAGAAAAAGTCAAGAGTACACCGTTATTCATGAAATTTTATGTTGTCATCTAAGGAAAATGGCCTGAATGTTTCCCCTCACGCCACATGGAAACTCTTTTCTTCCTTAATGGCATTGATAAACTCTCCTTCTATCATATTACGAAAAATTGTTATTGATAAATGACAAACAAATGAGATTGAAAAAAAATTGTTAGAAAAAAATTGATACAAAATAATTTCAAAATCAGCCAAAGAAATGTTGAAAATTTTATAAATTTTGGAATTCTGATTACACTTCGGGAATGCAGTTGTCGGGAGAACTAGCTGGAGTACTTGTCGAATGAAAGAGAAGTAAAAATAGCGTCAGGTGG